TGTCTGTGTGTCTGTGTGTCTGTGTGTCTGTGTGTCTGTGTGTCTGTTTGTCTGTGTGTCTGTGTGTCTGTGTGTCTGTGTGTCTGTGTGTCTGTGTGTCTGTGTGTCTGTGTGTCTGTGTGTCTGTGTCTGTGTCTGTGTCTGTGTGTCTGTGTCTGTGTGTCTGTGTCTGTGTCTGTCTCTGTGTCTGTCTCTGTGTCTGTCTGTCTGTGTCTGTCTGTGTGTCTGTGTCTGTATGTGTGCGTGCTTGATCCATGAACTTGCGTGTGATCAAGGTTGCCCCCCCCCCCCCCCACACACGTGCAAACTCCAAGCTGAACTGGATCAGGCAACTGTGCCTTGAAACTGGAAGACGACGGTCTTTCCTCCTTGCGCGCAAGCTGACATCGCCCAGATTCCAAGCCACAGGCTCGGGCCTCTGGGAGAGTGACTCTTGGATTCGCCCTGCCAAGGCTGACAACTAAGGAAATCCAAGGCCAAGCTGACAACTCGGAGCCTATGGATGGCTTTCGCCTGCGACGGACATGTGGCAGACGCGAGGTCCAGAAAAACAATCGGCGCCTCCTCAGTGCTGCCAGTGCTGCCCTTGGAATCGCGCCTTGCACGAAATGCACGAAACTGGAGTGCACCGGCCAAGCGGCACCGTGCCTGCCACCGTCCTGCACCCACTCATTTAGGCGGCTAGTCACCTAGGAAACTTGGCGAGGTTGTCCGTATTTCCGCCCGTATTTCAGCTTTCAGACATGTCCGACCCCCCGGGCCACAGGCCATGGAGGCCGTCTTTGCGCAAAACGGCCTCGCAGTCGACTCAGTCGCTTCAGTTGCCTCAGCTGTGCCTTTCACAGGGTCTCGAACAAGGGATTTCACCGTCTCATGTTCGAGTTTCTTGACACACTTATGATTGCGACACAACCGGATGTAGACAACAGCACGGTGCCGTCGGTTGCGCTTCCACTTGTATGTGGCTAGATCGTGGCAATGTCCCATTTTTCTTTGGAGAACACTTTCGGGCCCTCAAGGCGAGGGCGAAAAGGGCCATCCCATTGTCTTGCACACACACACACACAAGCGCGCACACATCTCAAGGTATCAGGCAATCTCCATCATCTCATGCATCGAAAGGCTCCAGAATCAAACCCCCACAAGCATTCAAGCTCCGGGCCAGAACTACTGCCGGTTGCCTGCCAGTGATGGATCGACCGAATCCTCTTGCAACCCAAGTCGAGGCTCAGACTTAGGCCGGGCCTCGGGTTTCAGTGATTCAGGCTCGCCATATGCACAAAACGAATGAATTCGACGGCCGTCCGACCTCTCCGATTGGGGCGCGCGCGTGATCCTCATCCTGCCACGACACAGCGGATCGGATCTGAGAGACCGGACAGATCGCGCGATCGCGCCTCGCTGTCTGAAGTCTGCGGGCTGCGCACGAATGGAGTGTCGGGCCTTAGATCGTATGTCTCACATGTATTTGGCGTCCTTTTCTTTTTCTGGGGATGCAGCTCATCAATCTTCTGACGAGTTCCACGCTCCTGTGCGATTGACATCCAAACTTCCATCCAGATCCAGCGTCTGACTCTACTTGCAACTCGCTATTGACTCTGTGCCTTATCATGCTCCGCGATGCACTGCTCATCCCAGTGGACTCGAGCATTCTCCCGCGCAGGCCTACGTGAGTGTTATGCTTTCTTTTGTCTTGCCATATGGCATATTCTGCCATATTCTGGCCACATCCTGCCATCTCCTGCCATCTCCTGCCTCTCCTGGTACAGGAGCCCGCGCAAGGCGTGGGTCCCGTCCAGGTCAGCCGGCGCGCCATCCAGCGCGGTCACACAGGTGGAAGCCATGCGCTGGATGCTTCCACCTCCCAAGAAAAATTAGTGAGACATCGGTCCTAAAGCTGAGCCGGCATCACGGACAATCAATTCAGCATGTCTCATCGGTTGTCAAGCTTGTAAAGACATCATGTCACATGGCCCACGCACTTGACATGCGAGCTGTCTTTGACATCCGGCTTACGAGCCTAACCGCGTAAGGTCTTCACGTTTCCGGCCCAACCAAATCGTCCGGACACACCAATGTGTGAAACATCTCCGGGCTCTCATGCCAACTCCTTCAGCGGCAAGCTTGGCAACTTGGTGAGCCTCTCAGCCCTGAGTGGCCGGCATGGCTCTCCGGCTCAAGCTTTGCTTCCAAACCTCGGAATCACTCGCGTCTGGCTTGGGCTTCCCGAGTCTGGACAAAGGCTGTAGATGTGACATGTGGGAATTCGTCCGGCTCAATGGGGGATCCAGTTGTGGCACATGCGTGAATGCGGTCTGAGACTGCGGCTGTTCAGTGGCTCCAGCCGCTCCCTCTCATCTGCCTCGCGGCTTCAAAAGCGCAATCCCAGCAGCTAAAAGCTTGCAGGCGCCTCCAACACTTTGACCATCTTCGAATGCAACTGCTTCACCTCTGGTGGATGTCAGTGCCCGGACCTATTGGTAGTTTATGAATTCATTTCGAACCAGGAAGTGGAATTCATTTCCTGCCAAAACTGCCAACAAGGGTGCTGGGTGGGCACTTTGCATCCCAAGATGCTTGAGAGGAGATCTGCTGGAGCGGGCTACGCAGGTTTGTGATGGAGTTCTTGTATGCGCCTCACTTGCATGGGCTGCACATGTCGCCACATCGGTCCCTCAGATTGCTGACCCAGCTTCTGGTACGCTTCAGCAGCTCTCTGCTCTTCCTGAGCGAAAAGGTCGGGCTGGAACTTGGACGTTTTTTGTTTTTCTCCCCGTCCTTGTCGGCTACGTCCTTGTAGCCTTGAAGCGCTTGATCCAGCTGCTCATGACTTTTGGCCACGTCCTGTGACTCTTTTCGCCATGCCCTGTCCTCCCAATGCCCCGGTTTTCCTTGAAGAAGATATGGCCAGTCGCCGCCCCATCTTCGGCGGCATCACCGAGGTTGCTATTTTCCTGGCGGATTGAATGCCCAGCCGCTCAGCCACAAAAGGTGAATGCTACACGGACCATGGCCGGTCAATTGAAGAATCATGGCCATCCCTGACCAGGCGCTAAAATACAAAAATCGTATATAAGGATGCAAATGCAACTTCCCCATTCGTTCGATTCGGATGCAGCCGCCTCCATGAGAGTGGCCGCGTTCTGCGGGTGAGCATTCTGCACTGCAGGCTCCGCCGGCTCCCGCGCGGTGTTTTCAGGCTCAGCTTTCGCCGAGTCCTGGCAGGTAAAAAAGAACGGACCTCAGCACCGTGGAATTAGAACGGCAGACGGGATCTTCAAGACGCAATGTGGCCTCTGGAACATCTTGGGCGATCTGCAGTGCTGCCTGGCTCGTTGCCATGTTGCCGGTGACGACCTCCGGACTCCGTCGCTGCCGTTCGAGGTTGGATGCCACCGCCGCGGCCATGTCGCCGTTCTGTGAAGACTTGCATACGGCGAACTCAAAACTTGGCCGGGCCTTCAGTGCATCGCTCACTCGCTTGAGCTCTGCCTTCGTGGCGGAAAGAAGCCATACAAAACTGCTGCAAGACTACCGGGCCTGATCAAACATCATGAATCCTGGGCTTCAATGCTGAGGAAATGACAGCCCGGATCCCTGAGCACATGACCATCATCCAGCTCGCGGTCTGGTCGCACCCCCTGCAGGCACACAATCTTGCCTTGCAGTGCGCAATCTGCAGCCAACCTGTGCGACCTCTGCAAGCAGGAAGGCAGCGGCGAAGATCCTGCCAGACCAGAGATATGAGAGTCTGGCCTCATGGGCCCGCCTCATCGGCCTCATGGTATCCCCGGCACCATGGCTTTCGGCTCGGATGTAGTGATGGGCATAGTGAAGCTTTGCTTTGCTCAGGCCTTACGATGTCTGACTTGCAGCTTGGATTTGACAGGGCACGCAAATCAGAGATTCTCAAACAACTTCTGAAATGGCGGGCATGAATCAATGCCGGTCATTCAACATCTTGCAAGCATGCAAGCTAGCACCGCGCAGCATCTCACACTTCAAAACATGGATCACAGTCCATCCGACTCAGACTCTGTACACGTGCATCATGAAAGTTGAAAGGGTTTGAGCACTCCTCAAATGTGCATCGCATAGGGCTGAAGCTGAAGAGAAACATGCTCTCACTGGAGGTCACAGGTGGGAGGCAGCAGCCCTGGAGTGATAAACCTGGAATTCCCTGTACACGCGACTTCCAAGGAAGATTGCCACACGAAATGGGCACACTAAGGAAGCAATCGACGTCCATATCTTCACTGATTTGGGAAGCACCTCCGAGCTGGGCGCTTCTTAAACGCGAGCACAAAGGTTAGAGGTGTCTCTCACCGCAAGGCAGATGTCACTTACGAGAGCCAAGCTCTCAGACG